CCCCGGACTGGGAGCTCACAGCACTGGAGGAATGTTGGTGTATTAAGAAGCTTCAGACCCCCTGGAACAGGTTTTCAGGCCTGGGGCGACGGAGCAGGTGGGGTAAATGTGCTTTGTGAAATAAAAGGCTGCAGACAGACGGCGAGCTGGCCTTGTGTTGTTGCACTTGCTTGACATTCAGAACAAATATATGTGTTACTCTGTCCATATTTACCACAGTGGTGCTGCAATCACAACTAATACCAGCTTCAACTTCTTCTTCCTTTAGGGAAGTGCTATAATCAGTTGTCATAAAGTCACTGGTTGATGATTAGATATTGCTAATATTATACAGGGGTTGCAGGAACTTGTGATACAAGTAGAAATGTGCCTTTTTAAATGTATTAGTTGTATATTTTCAAAGCTTTCAGTTTGCTGCCATTAATGTGAGCGTGCTACGTGCTATCTGACTGCAGTATTAAGATAAAAATCTGGCTTTCTGAATAAGAAATGTGTGTTTATCTCCTCTCTGATCCTCTGGCGCTCTCTGATGAGGATAGAAGAACATAAACATATGGCTGCAAACAGAATAAGAAGCAAGGACAACGTGAACTTTTGCTGTCGTTGAATAAGAAACTTTCCACTGATGCAGAAATGTTTAAAATGTTCCTCTAACACTGATTCATCAGTATTAACGTTCTTATAATGTCATATCTAACAATATATCAGCCGTATAAGTATTATGCTCTGAGAACACCTTCCATACCTGTCTAACAGAACTGAACATTAGAAGCTGCACAGAGATGGATGGGTAGATCAGTGCACCGAGGCTCCACAGTGTCGGCCTTGTTTAGCTCTTCATTGTGTTTTTTTGTATCACGTACACTGGAAATGTGGCGATGAACTGTGAGAACGACTTTTTAATTAACACTTTAATTATCTTGTGACTGAGCTCAGTTGTGGCCTGAAAGAGAAAACTTTTACTTTTACTTACTTACTTAACTATTGACATCGCTCGTGCTGAAACATGAGTCAATCGATGAGTTTCTGCAACTATTTTACTAATTAATGAATCTTCTTAGTCAGATTTGATGATATTAGACATTCCCTGGTTTGCTGCCATTAATGTGAGCGTGCTACGTGCTATCTGACTGCAGTATTAAGATAAAAATCTGGCTTTCTGAATAAGAAATGTGTGTTTTTTTTCAGAGGAAGACTCGCACATAAGTTCAAATAATAAATCTACAGAAGCAATCTGACACTTTATTCACAGTTAGTTACTCTGTTTATTCTCCCTCTGGCGTGCTTTACTTATCTAAAACAAAGGAACAGCGTGAACCCGAGATAGAGACTTCCAACCTCCAGGGAGGATTTGACCTACAACCCGGGCCTGTCAAGGTCCTGCAGAATCGAGTAGAAAAACTGCAGATAAAAAGGAATTGAATTGTCCCAGTCACCTTCACAATGCTGATAGGTTTCCTCGAGAGATGGTAGGCCGTGTAGAAGAGGAAGGTGAGGAAGAGAATGAAACCACGATACCTGAAAAAGAGAGGATTAAATAAAGATACAGCTGCAAACAGAATGAGAAGCAACGACAGCGAAGACACCAAATGCAGATCGGATTTTACTGGTTAATCTTTTAGAAGCCGACGTGAATAAGAAACTTTCCGCTGATGCAGAAATGTGTGTTATAAAACATAAACTGCTACCAGCATGTCACAGATCAGCTGAGTTCATACTCAGTGAACGACAATAAACCGCCGGCTGAAGATAAAGACTTAAAACATCAGCAAGAACATGGAAACAACATCTTTATAATCATAAAACATTAATATAGTCTTTCTTATCTGTCCTCCAGAGGACGTAAGAATAGAAACACCTCTCAACATAAGACCGATACACCACCGCTGGTAGCTGTTACTCCTGAGTATTTCCATTTAATTACTACTTTATACTAATTTAACACGACATTTCGTCGTTTTTACTCGACTACAGGGCGGCAGCGGTCTGAGATTTTCACGATACAATAACCGTCTCTCAAGGTTTAACTGTATAATGTTATTACACAATTATTATCAGTCCCAATGACCCTTAAAGGAAAGAAAACAGAAGGGTTGAACTAACACTTAATTATAATTTCTACCAATATGGTAGAATTCAATACCGTAGATAAGTATATGAACACGTATAAAAATATACCGCTGCAACTCCACTCTATAGTTAATGTACAAAATAATGATTTTACATTAAAAAACACATAATAAGCTACATTACATGAATTAAACCTGTGCTCGACATCCTTTTTAGTTAGTTTCTGATGTCTGTGAGTTGTTTTCTGTTCCACTAAAGAGACATTTCCCTCCTAAACTTCTTACATGGCTTCATTTAAGTTACAGTTAGAGGCCTGAAAAGGTTGAATTGTACAATATTTAAAGTAAAATAACTACAAATGTATGTTCCACTCATGTTTTGTCCCATTTCCTGCTCCTTTAATCACCTCATGACCCCTCACATTTTATCTCCTGACCCTTTGGAGGGGCCCGACCCCATGGTTGGGTTTCACAGGACTAAACCACAGACCTCCAAGATCCACCTGGAGTAGCTGTTGTTGTTCCTCTAACACTGATTCATCAGTATTACCTTCATTATGTTTTTTTATCACGTACACTAGAAACATGGCGATGAACTGTGAGAACGACTTTTTAATTAACACTTTAATTATCTTGTGACTGAGCTCAGCTGTGGCCTGAAAGAGAAAATGTTTTTACTTGTAACTATCATGCTGAAACATGAGTCGATTGATGAGTTTATGGAACTATTTTTACTAATTAATGAACTTTCTCAGTCAGATTTGATGGTTTTCTTGTGTTAAACCGCAGTAAATGTGCAATCTTTGTGTTTGGGACTGCAGTTTGAAGGTGTCTCTCTTGCTCTCTGGGAGACTATGAACCGTCTCCTGATGATTTATAAACCCAACTGATCAACTGTTAAACTAAGGAAATAATGGAAAGATTACTTGATGAAGAAACTAATCATTAGATTGAATATTCAGACTCAGACAGCTTTAATTATATTGTGTCATTGTTTTAATCCTATTAAAAACCCCAATAAACAAATAAAGAAAGTCATAATAACAAGTACCTAACTAATGATTATTGGTTTGTTATTTAATCCTTCTTCTCTGTTGATGTTAATGGACTTTCTCACTGAACTGCTGGAGTCTTTATTTCTGTAACATCAGCAAATTAAATTAACAAATAATCTCCACAGTGAATTAGAAAACTAAGATACCATCCTCCTCTTGTCTTAGCCGAATTCCTTAAATTCCGGATTCTGTCGCGGATCGATTCGATAAAGGTCAAATCTGCATCGATAAAGGAGGACGCTCTAAAATTGGTGATTTTTTGAATGGAGTTTGGCGTGGCTCGATTTCTCGCTGCAGAACCCCCCCTCCCCTAAAATGCACCAATTAGGGTATTTAAAATAAAAAACAAACAGTACATAATGAACCCACAACTTCACAGAGTGTGTGTTTTATCGATGTGGTTGTGTGTTGATCATTTACAGCAGGGAGATAACACACGTATACAACCCAGTATACACACACACACACACACACATAAAGGCTCTGTAATGAGGATAATGGAAACTTACCAACTATCTCGAGAGAAAGACGTGATAAACCGTATCCCGGGAGCCGTGGACGACTTCATTTTCGATGCAAAATGTGTAAAATAAATAAATAAAAAGAATAAACTTTACGCAGAATCACTCAGTTTGCAGCCATTTCCTCACAACACATACGTTAAAGACACTATTTAGTTTATTAACGGGTTGTAACGGGTTGCTACGGAGCTGAACCCGGTGTGGTAAACCCGTATTGTCCGGTAGCACCGACTGAACACGGAGCTTTGTGTCTCTGAGGTTGTTTACAGTTTAAAGGAGTAAACAAAGCAGCGACCACGCAGGATCCGGGTCCGCGGACGTCCAGCGGTGGAGCCCATTCTGGGTTTATAAGGAGCGGGGAGCAGAGAGCCAGCCTCCCGCAGAGCCTCCGGTATTAATACACAGGTATTATTAGCCCGGTAACGGGACGGTAACAGCAGAGGAGGAGGAGGAGGAGGAGGAGGAGGAAGAGGAGGAAGAGGAGGAAGAGGTTATTCCTAAAGGTTTTCCAGTCGGAGCCTCCCGCCGGACACGTGATCGCGCACTCTTCGGGACAGGACACAGCTGATCCTCCAACAGAGGGGGTTCAACATGAGGGTCGGGACCCCCTCTGGTACCGAGCCGGTAGTGGGGGGTTTTAATTTAAACAATCTGTGCGTTATTATAATGAGAGATAATGATAATTAAATAATGATTTAGTGTCTTTAAGTTAATATTCTGAGAAACGTTCTCATTATAACCACTTACAATATCATTTTCCACCTCACTTTGGAGGAAACTGGCTTCCATAGAAAACATTTATATCCAGACTTTGGGAGTAATAGATTACATGTAATGTGTATGAATTATAATGAGAGACTTTCTCAAAATAATAATTTAATATCTCAAAATAATGACTGTGATATTACGACTAACAGAATACTTTTGTTTAAATAGTTCCATAGTTTGGCACCACACTAAACTCCTTTATCGTTCCTGCTTGTAGTTTTGTTATATAACAGACCATATTTATTAAGTGTTATTCAGGGAGAATTAGTATTCTTGTTTCATCTTATAAGACCTCGAGCAAAGCATATTAAGATCATAATTAATGTACAAATCACTCACTATCGATAACCAGTAATTAGGAGGTTATTGAGGGAAAACCTAGTAGTTGTAGAATATGATCGTACAGAATCAGGCATTCATATGTGCTAATACTAGTTATTGCTGTATACTTTAATATAAAGTGTTTCATGCAGGAAGATACTGATGTTCGACAGGTTAACTTATAAAATTAAATATAATTCATGATAGTGTAACATGGACACAGAATAATGTCACTCGTTCCTATAAAGAATGAATTGTAAGCAGCATTTAAGAAAAAAAGATGACAAAATTAGGTTTATTATATTTTTAAACAGTCCTGAAGAATGTTAATGTGACACAAACAAACAAAGCACACTGTAAAGTTTACACACGTACTGACCTCCCTGATGTTTCACTAACTACATAAACACACACATTTCTTAATTATCAATAAATAAACCAAAAGTTCATTTCTATGAGGATTTTAAATATATTTTAAAGGTCAGAAATCAATAAAAAATAAATGCAAATAAACCTTTAATTAACAACTCTCTCTAACCATTCCATTAATTTAAATCAGCATAAAAATAATAATTAATGTGTAAAAATCAATCAGGAACACGTGTAAATCACTCTGTATGTTTTTATATTAAAATGATTCTGACACATTCTGAGTGCACAGATCTCCTTCAGCTCATTAAATCCCTGCAGCTGAAGGCAGAACGACTGATAACGTTCACACATCTGCAGCCTCCGATCTGAACTCAAAGTCATCGTCATTCATCGTCTGCAACACATCCTGGATCTCTCTCTCTGTTCAGGCAGCACGCGGCCTGTTTTTATCAACGACTGCAGTTCATCAGCTCCTTCTATTGTAAATCCAAACTCAGCATGGTTGAATGTAACGCCTTAGCGTACGCTGTGGAGGAGAGAGATGATAGTCAGCAGATTATATAACACATAAAGACAAACAGTTTGAGATTCTGCTTCTATAAACACGTCTTCTGTCAGACTCGTGGAAAGAAAAACACCCAAAATACACCTCCAGGTGTTTATTGTACTTCATTTTGTCTGTTTGCGTGTATATTTCTCCTAAAGTTAGCATTCGATAATCCCTCATTTGCATATTTAAACATAACATTTTCAAAAACTCGTAATACAAAAAAGACTTGTCTTAATGTGAGTAATCAACTGGGGAAGTTTCATGGTGATATCTGTTAGTTTAAAATCTTCACCCTATTCACTTTTTACAATACTCAAAGTGAGTTTTTTCTCCACTTCAGCAGCTCTTTCAGTTTTATTCCTGTTTATATTCTGAAGGTTTTTAAAGAAGGGTTTGTTCTTATAGCATTCACAGCCCGATTTATATCACGTTTTATTCCTAAAAACATGTCGTTTTAGTCTGATTTATGGAGCGAGATGTCGTCAAAATCAAACAAGGACTTTGAACGTGGCTTTATCCAATGTTTTTGTTCTGGAAATGTGTGTGTTACATTTACACCTGTTCAGTTTCTCACCTTTGGGATTGTTGTGGAAGACGCAGTTGTTGGCGCAGGTGTCGGGGTGGGAGTCCCAGAAAGAGGAGGCGCAGCAGCAGAGAGGAGGGAGATCCAGCTTCTCCTGAGACAGTCGCTCCTTCATCTGAGCCCTCAGAGCATCGACGAACCTGCAGACAACGAGCCGCTTCATCAGCTTCAAGACCACACTGACAGATTCCCAGGTTGCACTTCAGTTAACTGTATGTGTTTATATTCTCTGGAGTCTCAGCAGCTCACAGAGAAATAACTCATAATGAGCATTAATAATCCAGACTGTGAGCGGCTCTCATGTATAACCAATATAAACAGTTCAACAGGACAACAAAGAGTCAGTTTGTGCTGTAATATTACAGAGCTGCAATTAATCAATTCATCAGCAAATTAGTATTTAGTAATAATTCATTTTGAGTCATTTTCTGTAAGGGGAAAGTCTCTAATGTGAACATGTTCTGGATTCTTTACTCCTCTGTGACAGTAAACTGAAAATCTTTGGGTTGTGTTCGTCACTTTAGGCTTTTGGGAAACACTGATCAAACAGCTAATCGATTATTGATCGACGGACTAATTAATGATAATATTTTGTTAACTGCAGCTCTACTTTTTATTCAGGAGCTGAGTTTGACACAAACTGCTGCAACTCATTTTCTCTTCGTCGGGAAAAAACTCAGCTACACACACAACACGTGTTACCATGGTTACCAAATAATCTGCATTATATAGGTCAGGAGAAATAAGGTTTATTATTATTATTATTATTATTAAATCTAATAAAAACTTGTGTAGTCCACTTCAGACTTTAATTGACAGCTTGCACATCAGACCAGATGAACCGAGCAGGTTGGGTGTGAAAGCATGAAGAGCTGTAAAGCGTTTTCTACGGCATCTCTCAAAAAGACGTAACAAGATTAATTATTAATATTAGTGGGATATTAATATTAATAAGTGTGACATCACTTGAGGCAGTTTGTCAGACGCCTGGAACCACAAAAGGCTCAACAAAACAGTTTTCATATATTCACTAATCCTTTCCAAGAGCAGTAAACAGACTTTGCAGAGTAAAATCAGCCCCTTTAAACTCAGTAATTAATAATAATAACTAACTAACTAATGAATTACCGTGCAGCCACTTTCCCTTTCTCCTCCCTCTTCCTCCTCTGCAGCTCCTCGGCTCTCTCCTCCTCCTCCAGCTTCAGTCGCTCCAGAATCAGCAGCTCTCTCTCCTCCAGTTTCTGCCGGGCCTCCGCGAGCTGCCGAACCCTCTCCAGCTTTCTCTCCTCCTCCACACGGATCTGTTCTTTCTCTGCTTTGATCCTTCAGTGGAGAGAGGAGACCAAAGACACTTTACGTCATATCGATCTGAGTTAGTTTGTATGCTATCCACAGATATCGAGCCATATTAATGTTTGAATATTGTTTCTGCAGTGAATAATGATCTTTCATCACTCTGGGACACATTTTGGGCGTAGATCAACTCGCACACAGTAAGAGGAAGTGTCGGGGGGAACAGTGCGGTCACCTTGCTGTCCTCTTCAGGTGTTTCCTGTGCTGCTTGTTCTCCTTCACTTGCTCTCTCTCAATGTTCATGTAGAGTCGGCGGTGCATCAGGAACTGAGACTGACGCTGCAGAGAGAGAGAGAGGCGCTCTGTAACATCTGCTCTGACAGCTTCACACTAATACAGCAAATAAAGGGTTGAGCGGATGGCTACTTGTCTTTTCAGCTCTTCCTGGTCAGTCAGAGGCCACAGCACCCGCTGGCCTCTGAGGCTGGACTGGAAACCAGGATCAGACTGTGCAGGATCAGACCATCCGCTCAGCTGAAACACACACAGTGAGAACAGATTACAACCATGTGAGGGGTTAATCTGCCGACTGGTAACAGCTAACTGATCATGACAGAAAAACACAACAGAACTGAGTTGTATACGTTTTTATTATGACACTGCTAACTCGTCACTGCTGCAGAATACATTGATGGGAGATCATTGTGAAGGAGCCAGCATCGAGGTCAGGTCAGGTCAGAGCCGAGATAAACTGCACTGTTCCCTGTTAGCAGCCCGGGCACAGAGTGAATCAGAGGGGAAATGGAAGTTATGTATCATTAACGATTCCATGACATCAGCAGGTGTGAAGTAAAACAACTGGCACTGTAACCTCCGGGTATGATGGAACATGTCATTGCACTCTGTCAGCTGTTTATGGTCATAAAGGTCAAACTGTTTGGGTTTCTGAGTCGACGACAGCCTGAAGTCTCACTCTGAAGTCTGAAGGACCCACACTCACTGGCTGCTTCCTTTTGGAGGATCCTGCCCCTGAACTGAGACACAGATACTCTTAATAACTCTATAACAATAATAACAACCAGAACTAAACATTCAACACATTCAAGTTCCAGGCTTTAGTACCATTTAAATGCAAGAACTACCCTGACCCCGTGGCTCCATTCCTAAAGCTGCTGCCTGACGTTTAACAATGAAAACAGGAGAGTTGTAGCTTCAGTCAGTCCAGAGGATGGAAAGAGCGGGACCGGTCAGTCAGTATGTGTCCGTCTGTGTCCGTCTGTGTCAAACACTTCACCAGAGGTTAGTTAATGATGTTACTGAGTGAATCACATGTGTACCGATTAGAACCGCGGATCAAAGCAAGGAAACGTCTCAGTGATGATGGAAATATACTTTTAACTGTGAGAAGAGAAGACCCTAAATAAAACAGCTGCTTTTAGAATGGAGTTTGGTTTGACAGTGTGGAGCAGACGGTGTTTTAACCTGGATCATTCACATAAACTGAGCTCACCTACCTTCAAATAATGAACCTTGTAAACTGTATAAAGTAACACAGGAAGTAAAGGAATAAAGCCGACCTGTTTTCTACTTCGATTAATGAACACAGAATAAGTGACAGATGGCAGAACTACCTGGAGATTCAATAAGGTAGTCAGACTGAAAGGACTCATCAGCCCCTATTTCTTTAATTTTTTGGATTTTTAAAAATTTGGTGGAGCTTTATTCTGATCTGCACATCATATCGGATTTAGAAATCTGAATTTTTTCGTAAGTTATTGAGGAAAAACCTCATCAAACATCTAAATATGAACCCTGAAAAATATCTACTTCTCAGTATTTTTTAGTTTGTATTTGTCTACATTTTGGTAAACCCGCTCCAGTCACTCTGCAGCAGTTTCTGTTTGCACTTTATCCATGAATATAAAGATAATCTCTGGATTACTCGTGATATTGAAGAAAAAGTCTGTGTGTTCCAGTTTAACTCAAAATAACTGAACCAATATGGATGTTGTTTGCAGCTGTCGGACCACATTTTCTGCTCCCACCAAAATAATTCCTTCTTATTTCTACTTAACGAAGAGAACAACTGCAGTGACACTGACTCTACCTGCACCAGTACTGGCTGTTATTAGTAAACCTGTTCATTAACCTTCTGCTGAACCAGAGGACATTCATGATGACTGGTGAACAGATGATCATCTCTCTCTTCCTCCTCTTCCACTTCCTGCTCCGCTCTCAGCACGTGAGATCGACTTTTCTGTCGGATGCAGAGGAGAAACGTATTGAAAGAACAAACTCATTTATAGGAACTATGAGTTTTTAAGAAAGAGGAAGAGGTGTGAGACACAGGCGCTCACATGTCTGGATGGAGAGACGTTCCATTCGCCTCCGGGAAGGTCTGCCGTCATTTCCCCATGTGGGATCATCCGACAGGCAGCCAGTCTGAGCCTCACCTGCCTCATGCCTCCGCTGGACTGGAAAAGCATGGAAATAAATAATGCTCCACATTAATCACAGTCACATTGTTCTATTACGCACACATGGAAACACTGCAGTCATTCTGATAAAAACAACAGTGCAGAGAGCCGACTGAACATCACAACAGATAGAAGTCTGTCTGGGGATAAAATAATAAAACATTCTACGAGGATCTCTCTAAAACCTTTATCTGCTGCTATAACTCCTCCACTCTCTCTACAGGACTTTGCTCTCTTTCAGACTGAAAAGCAACGATGAGGCTGATGTCTGGAGAAAAGGCCTGGTTCGGTTGTCAGAGCTCTGTGCAGGAAAAGAACTTCTTATTGCACCTGGCTTTGGTCTTTCACTGGAAGCAAGCGTCCAAACCCAAAGCATGTGTCCATATCCTTTTGGCCATTTAGTATTTAACAACTCTCCAATGCGAGTCAGAGGGGGAGAAGAATCACACATACACGAGTTAAAGACAGAAAAGTATGGATGGTGCACCTCCTGAAAGCCGCTCTCTGGCGCCCTCTGCTGTGCGCCTCCTGCAGACGTCAGCTCCTCCTGCCGGTGTGGGACTCTCCTGTCGGGTCTCACCTGGACATAAACACACGAGGAGGAGGAGGAGGAGGAGAACCGGGCTTCATGCAGTGCCAGAACAAACTGTGGACTCTTTGATTAGTCAGCAGAATAATCCTCAATCATGTTTACAGTGAGGACTCGCTCTCCTTCTTTGTTTTACAGCGTTGTAAACTGAATATCTTCATGTTTGTGACCAAATAAAGCAACTTCAATCACAATCAGAAATACTTTGATAAGCATCTATTCAGAACAAAATATAAATATATATATATGTATAAAAGATATATAAAAGATGCAAAAAGTGATTGTCCGTGTTTGTGTCAGATTACAGAAGGGGAATAAAGAATAAAGGGAATAAAGAAATGTGAACTAATGAGGAGAATTTTCACTCTTTTAAATATTTAAAAAGTAAACTGACAGTTAATCAACATTTAAACACTCAAATGAAAAGAAAGTCATTAAGAGCTCACTGCCCTGATCCATTTATTGGAGTCAATATCACCGGATTAACTCGAGTCAGAACAGCGTTGTTGTTGTTGTTGTTGTTTACCTGCTGTCCCTTCCTGCTGACGTGAGCCTGCTGTGCCACACGATGGCGGACTTCATCCTGAAACCGCAGAAGGCTCTCCTCACTCTCCCTCCTCCTCTCCGCCTGGATCTCCTCAGTGAGCAAAGCCAGATCCTGAACGCAGCACAGGATCGATCAGAACGTCACAGAATAAACCAAATGCACATATTACTCTGAATAAAGTGGTTTATAAACACTATTATAAGGAGTTTGTATCAAACCTGATTATAATTTATTTAAATAAATAACTTTGGATCAATAAATCATCATCAGATTTAACTGTGTCTATATATAAAACATTAAATGTCTTTATTCTGTTTTATTGTAACTGTGGCAGTGAGGAGGCTTACAACTTTAATACTTAATTACACATTCACTTTTAACAGAAACATAATATATATTATTTATATAATTTATATGCTCGGAGCTGTAGCTGGTTAACTAGCCGTTAGCTGTTTAGCTGTGTTAACTATGGCTGGTTAGGCGCAGCTTCGTAACTACCGCTGTGTAGCTTGGTACGCTTGCGGGGGTAAGCGTAGCTGTTAAGCCTGTTAGCCTTATAAATATATAAATATAACTGGTTACGTAGGTAATAAGAAATATCATAGTAGGTAAGCTCCAGTAAGGGCATCGGGCGGTATAGTACAGATCCAATCTAATAGAATGATAAATTATTATAAATGAATATAAATAATAAATACTATAAAAATATAAATATTAAATATATAAATATAAAA